GGTTCAAACCCAGCCCTGGCCAAAAACTGCAAAAAAAAAAAAAAAAGAACCAAGAACTAATGAAATTGATCGTAAGACTGTACATATATGCATTTTCATGGGATCAGATGCATTGATCAGATTCTGGTTTTTTTTTTTTTTTTTGAGAGAAAGTCTCACCCACTATGTCACTGTCAGTAGAGTGCTGTGGTGTCACAGCTTAAACAGCAACCTCAAACTCTGGGCTTAAGCGATTCTCTTGCCTCAGCCTACCAAGCAGCTGGGACTATAGGCATCCGCCACAATGCCTGGCTATTTTTTGGTTGCAGTTGTCATTGTTGTTTAGCAGGCCTGGGCCGGGCTCCAACTCACCAGCTTTGGTGTATGTGGCCAGCACCCTACTCACTGAGATACAGGCACCAAGCCTGATCAGATTGTTAATAGGATCTTACAACCAAAATAGATTAATGAATCTGTACTGTCTTTTTTGAAGGCTGCGTAGGATTCTGAAGGTGGAATTTACCATAATTTATTGAAGTGGGACTTAGTGGGGTTTCTTGGGTTGGTTCCACTTTTAGACCACTATATTAGAGTGTCTTAGTATATGTAACTCTTATGTTGACTCAGTGTGTCTGCACATTCAGTGATGTTCAGTTGCTGTCCAGAAAGATAGTATATCCATGACCACTACTTTCATACATTCATTACAGATGAAAATGTCATTTATCTGAAACTGAAAATACGAGATCACAGGGCCCTCTCCCAAACTCATTTCAAAGGGTCAAACCAGAATCCACTGGTCAAAGGAAAACAATATAGTTGGTAGACATAGAGCAGTGGTTCTCAACCTTCCTAATGCCAGGACCCTTTAATACAGTTCCTCATGTTGTGGTGACCCCCAACCATATGAGGAACTGTATTAAAGGGTCCTGGCATTAGGAAGGTTGAGAACCATTGACATAGAGGATGCTGCAAAGTTGTTCTCAAAGAACCTGGAAATTACAGACTGTTTAAGTCAACCAAGTAAAATGTATACCCAGAGTGAGATGAACCTACTGAAGGGACCCACCTGAGAATCAAAATGGAAAGAAATGTAAAACCATATGCATACATACAGGCTTTGAAGAATTTCCCCTGTATCAAGTGTGTGCTGGATTGCATACTATAGACACAAAATCGTAAACTATTTAAACATCCAGCAGTAGGGATTAATTATAGTACATCCCTCTAACAGAGTACTAGGATACGCAGACACAAAATCACGGAAAAATATTTAATAATATAGGAAAATGTTTTTGGCCTATTAAATTTTTTTTTTTCTTTTTCTCAAAGAGCAGGTTACAAAATAATATGCCTGTTTGGGGAGGAGAAAACTTATATATCCTTTTCAGAGGTAACTGGTGGTGTCTAATTTCTTGTCTCTCTTTCCAGATAAGAAGGCCACTGCAAAAGTTTTGAGAAAGGTCCATTATTTCGCTTCCAACAAATATAGCCAGCAGCAGCATCCTTTTTGATTCACCTGTGCAAGTTTCAACTTGCCCATCTTATCAGTGTTGCTGGGAGGGCTTCATTGGTTTCTGTCTGTGTAGCACTCAGTTGGTGTCAGCTATGGTTCTGGGAAGAGAGCACTTTCGTGCAATGATTTTCTATGATTTTAAAAGTGGGCTAAACGAGTCTCAAAGCCTTGAGCGTTTACAACAGGCTTTCGGGGACCTTACTCCTTCCTGTGAGACAATTTTTCAGTGGTTCCAAGAATTTAGAAGAGGCCAAACTTCACTGAAAGATGAGGAGAGGAGCGGGTGTCTGGCAACCACAGTGACTGAGAAAAACATTGCTGCTGTGGAAAAAATGGTTCGTAAAAACAATTGAGTGACATTGAAGGATGTTGAAGTGGCACTATATATTGGATCACCATCAGTGTCCGAAATCCTGCATGATTATCTTTGAGTCAGGAAAGTTTCATCCTGATTGATGCCTCACACTTTGACAGATGAGCAAAAGCGCTTCTGTGTTGAATCCTATGAAGAAATGCTGGTCAGATTCCATAGAAACAAGTCTAGATGTGTTTCTGACATTGTTATTGGTGATGGAACCTAGATGTATCAGTTTGATCTGGGGAGTAAGCTTCAGTTGACAGGATATATTTTTTTACTGATGAAAATCCACCAACAAAAGTGAAGGAGCCCCAAAATGTTGGAAAGAAAATGGTGGCAACTTTTTTCTCCAAAAGCAGTCACGTTGCAACTGTTCCTCCAGAGGAACAAAGGATTGTCACTGCTCAGTGGTACACAACAGTGTGCCTATCAAAAGTTTTGAGGACGTTTCAGGAATGGCTGCCAAGGACAGACTGTGGGGGACCACCTTGCACCATGATAGTGCATCTGCCCACACAGCCAACATTGCCATTCAGTTCTTCGAGTCCACAGAGGTTAAACTTAGGGTTTATCCACCCTATACTCCTCACTTGGCCTCATGTGGTTATTTCTTGTTCCCTACAGTAAAAAAAATCTCGTGTGCAGAAGCTTCTTCAGCTCTGAAGAAACTATTCATACCTAAATGGAAATGAGCTTATAGCATTTGAAGAAAATGAGTTTACAAAAATGGTTTATAAGAACGCAGAAGTGCATAGTATATTGGAGCAATTATTTTGAGAAAATACACAAAATTTTATATTTGATTTTTGTGTATCTCAAAACTTTCATAGTCACTTGTATAAGTTGTGTATTCATAAGTATGTGTATGTATCAATAGTATTTTGGACATTATTTTCTGTATAGGCATCTACCTCAGTCTTTTTGACATTTGCATAGTGTAATTTTTTGTTATAATGTGTTTCAAACTTAAACAAAATCAGTAGTAAGTTATTTAAAATGTACCGGGTGAATAAGGAAATCTAGGCAGACTGATAGCCCCAATAAAGCCAAAGCTTGGTGTGACTGTAACCTGGCCTCTTACAGTTACTGATCCATGTGTGGTCAGCTAGCTGAAGCCATGACAGACAGGAAGAACAATTTGGGAACAGTAATGGGCCTGCCCTGCTCTGGGAATAGGCTGAGTCTGGGGGACATTGCAGGGCGCTTCTGTCTAGGAGCAAAGAATATTCCTTGGGCCTATTCCTTGTGAATATTCCTTGTGTCTACATGTCATCAGCAAACTTGTGGTCACAAAGATGGCGCCTAGGGAAGGCAAACAGTATTCCAGTCTCTTGGAGAGGACATACCTGAGGGAGCATCAGGACTTTGGTGTCTGGCTTGGGTTTCAACTTGGCCATCTCTAAGCAGAACAGGCTGTGACCTCTTGCTAAACATCAGTGACCCTGCCCCAGGGCAGAGCCTTGAAACCCAGTTTTAATTACAGAAGTAGAATGCAAAGCCACTTGAGTGGTCCAGATATAAGGGCTTTAGGGTCTGGCCAGCAGTGAGGCCCAGGCAAGTGAAGTGAAAGGCTGCACTTTTGATCACTCTCCTCTTAGGAGTACATGACAAAGGTGAGAGGGAGGACCCAGCTCACTCCATCATGGCTGCTAATGCAGGACAGAAGACCCTGGGCTTGGAGACAGACTCTTAACGGGTTCCAGGGCCTATTCTGTGGGTCAAACGTCACTTCTCTGCTTTCATTTTCCACTCTGGTCTCAAACTCCTGAGCTTAAGGGATCCTCCCACCTAGGCCTCATAGAGTGCTAAGATTATAGGCATGAGCCACCACACCAGGCCTCATTTCCCACTGTGTACGTAGGGCTGACGTTATCTCCCTCTTGGGTTCTGATAACCTGGGTTTATTAATGCAAGTCAAATAAACATTCCTATATGCCCCCCAAATTAGTGCTCTGTGCTTTCTAAGCATTCTTTACATATCTCCAGTATAGTACCATATACTTAGTCACACATCTATAGAGTGCTTTGAGGGTAGGAGGCTTATATACCTGTTTCTTATCACTTGGCACAATTAAGTGCTTGGTGAATTGCTGAACCAAAAAGATTATGACTTAGGCTTGGTACCCGTACCACAGTGGTTATGGTGCCAGTCACATACACCAAGGCTGGTGGGTTCAAACCTGGCCAGGGCCAGCTAAACGACAACTGCAACAAAAGGATTATGACTTGAGATGGGCAGTTGTTGGAGTAGAAATTGACCCCTTTCACCAACTGTGTTTTTAAGAAAATTCTGTTGGGAATGGTTGAGTAATACGGGGGGAAATGGGCTTTGGAGTCAAGACTTAAGTTGTTTGACCCCAAATGACTTGGCTCCGTTGGCCCGTGTATTCCACCTATAAAATGAGGCTAATAAAACCTCATGCAAAGATTATAAAGATTGTGCATGAAAAGCTCACTACTGCATCAGCATGTGGTAGGTACTCAGTCTCAGCCATTATTACCCAAAAATGGTTTCATGAGCATAGGTTCTACAACATTCCTGGATTTCCTACATTATTCTATTCAATAAAGGCATGATTTTATTTTTAGTCTAAAATCACGTGACCTAATTTTTGGCTCAAAAAAAATGGTTACAATACATCTGGACATGACTACCAGGGCAGTTGTTCTTTCTGCCTCTTCTACATTTTGTTGCTGAGCCCACTAAAGACAGGGTCACTCAAAAAGAGTTCCTCACTGACAAATTGGGACCAATCTTGAATCCCTAGGGACCATTATTTATTTTTGGCAAATGCTATTAGTGTACATATACAGTGCCATTCCCACAAAAGTCTATAGCATCTAAGTCTTAAAAACAGGTGACAAATAGAAAAGTCTAACAATATTCTGGTCTTTCAATAATGTCCTGTGTCCTTCAGGCTGTTAGGCCTTAAGGTATTTTGGTCTGGTTATGCCTCAGCAATAATAAAGGATGGGCTATTGTGTGATGTAGGCCCAGCCGCAAAATCCAGAAACTTCCAGTGCATTTTTACTTGAACACATTTGTCTGGTCTCCTTTGCAATGGGGTTTTCATGTTCCCTTTAAAGAATGACTTAAGGTGCTTAAAAATTCCACACTGAGTCTCAATGATAGTGAACAAACACTATTTAATGCCCTCTGAGCCACAATGTCTCCTTCTGTAAAATGAAGGAGTTAGGTTAGAGTTGGTGTCACAGACCAGACCACACCATGGATGGGTAAGCTAAATCCACTACCACTGATCCCAGCAGTGAGGAAGGGAGGAACAGAGCCAACGTAGGACTGGGGCCAGGGTACCAAGTGGCTGGGAAAACCAGCCATCAACTCTGAACCTTCAAGTCTCAAAAATGACGCCTTTGTTTTTTTGATTTGATGAGATTTAGCTAATATGATTGTCTCATTCATTCCAGTATATGTACGGCTGTAGATTTGTGTACAGAATTAAACATCCATTTATTAATTTATAAACCATAATAAAACCAGACAGTCATTTCCCTTCTCCAGCAGATCTTGCATTGGAAAAGGAAAACAAATTCATTTACAAATTCTAGCAACATCAGAAATTTCATTAAACCCAGACAGAGGCATAATTCATTTTGGAGTTCAATTATATGTTCAAGGAATCAAGTATTGTAATCTATAGATAACTACTGTAATATCTTTGCACTGCAAAATTATCCCCATTTGTTGAGAAAAATTCAACTGCAGACCCTACTGCCTCTGGTGAAGGCACATAGCAAATTTTTCACGAATAACACCCTTCAGTATTGCCTCTTCCCACTTTACACAGCAATTGTTTCAAAACCTGGGAGCCAGGTGTTTATAAAGCAAGCACACAAGAAAACAAACAAGGACTCTCCTGAGGCTAGCAGTTGGTAAATTCATAGGCAAGCAGGGGAACCAGTGACCTCTCCAGGGGCAGTCCATTCGTAAGGTGACAAAACTTAACACCTTAAATACAAAAGTTCAGTCAAAGCAAAAAAAAAAAAATCAAGTGCATAAGCTGCATTACTTCCTCTGAACAAGGGAACACCCACTAGGCTATAAAGGGCAAATCACTGTCCCATCTGCTGCTTACTCCCCAAGTATTGGGGAGAGATGGGCACAGTGCTGAAGAAAGAAGGTAGCCATCACCAAAGACCTCACAAGTCATGCCAGTGGTCCCCTTCTGCCTTTTAGGAAGGCAGAAAAGACCGGAGACCACAAACTGGACCTTGGTGCAGAAGGTTACCTGCTGGGAGCCTATAATGCCTATGATTTTCCTGATAGGATTCTGCCAAAACTTGAACTTATTCTTGACTGGAGAATCTGATTTGGCATTAACTTGGTGACATGATTGAGATCCTAACATAAACATAAAAACATGTCATGGAATCCAAACACTGTGTTCTTGTTTATAATGCAATAACTGGCTAGCACTTCTATTGATTTAAAAAAAAAAAAAAGGTCATGCCCATAATCCTAGCACTTTGGAAGGCTGAGGCAGGAGAATAGCTAGAGCCCAGGAGGTTGACACCAGTCTGGGCAACATAGTGAGACCCCATCTCTGCAAAGTAATTTTTAAAAATTAGCAAAGTGTGATGGTGCACACTCATAGTCCCAGCTACTTGAGAAGCTGAGGCAGGAGGATCTTTTGAGCATCCAAGAGTGAGCTGTCATCATGCCATTGCACTCTAGCCTGGGCGGCGCAAAATGAGACCCTGCTTCTTAAAAAAATTTGAGATAATATTCTTGATTCATTCCATTTTCAGCAATTGTATCATTGAGATCGGAGCTTCAAAACACTTCACTGTGGCCAGGCACAGTGGCTCATGCCAGTAATCCCAGCACTCTGGGAGGCTGAGGTTGGAGGACTGCTTGAGGCCAAGAGTCAGAAGTTACATTGAGTTGGGTGGCGCCTGTGGCTCCAAGAAGTACAGCGCTGGCCCCATATACCAGAGGTGGTGGGTTCAAACCTAGCCCCGGCCAAAAACTTCAAAAAAATAAAAGAAGTTACAGTGAGCTATGATGACACCACTGCACTCCAACCTAGGCAACAGAGTGAGACCCTGTCCCTTAAACAAAAAACACATACACACAAAAACACACTTCATTGCTTCCTACGAAATAGTAAAATGTGTCAGGCATCACCAGTAGGAACTTTTCATGTTTTTAAACATTTAGAAACAAAACCATTTCTGACCCATAAGCCAGTCCTCATGTGTCATCCCCTAATGGGGATCAAGACATAAACACACACAACTACAAAATATCCCTTAGAAAAATTTGAGATCATCATAAAATTAAGATCTCCCTACAAAACATCCTACCCATGAAGAATCAGTGAAGACTCATCTGAAAAAAGAAGTGCTACAGAAGTAGAGCTTGAAATATTGAATGTGATTTCTTTTTTTTATTTTCTTTTTGAGACAGAGTCTCACTTTGTCACCCTCAGTAGAGTATCATGGCGTCACAGCTCACAGCAACCTCAAACTCTTGGGCTTAGGCGATTCTCTTGCCTCAGCCTCCCCAGTAGCTGGGACTACAGATGCCTGCCTCAATGCCCAGCTATTTTTAGAGATGAGGTCTCACTCTGACTCAGGCTGGTCTAGAACTTGTGAGTTCAGGCAATCCACCCACCTCGGCCTCCCAGAGTGCTGGGATTATAGGAGTGAGCCATTGCACACAGCCTTGAATGTGATTTCTTGAAGACTGATTCTTCTCACTAAGAGAAGCAGTGCCCTGCTCTGTTAGAAAAAGGCAAAGGAAAGGGAGCAGTTTCCCTTCCCTCTGGGTCTAGGTGGACACCAATTCCAACTCACAGGTTAGAGAACGAATCAGGATCTAGGAAATCGAACATTAATTGCAATAGCTTTTCACTTTGGAACATCTGCCAGGAATTGCAAATGGTCATGAGGATGGCTGGGAAACTGGATCCACCTTTGATGCTGGAGATGTTCTAAGTGACCCATATAGGCTCCTTGTCCACTTGATGCCCGTGTCACACGTAAGCACTCCCTTTTGATCCACTCCCTGACACCCCTTGCCCCCAGAAACCACCTCTTGTCAGCTCCATGGTCATCTCCACAGTGATGGCACTTTTGGAGGACCGTGAATGTCATCTGTAAAGCAGAACAAGAGCTCTGAAGTACACTGCTTGGGGAATAATTCCACACTGAATTGGTACTACTTGGCCAAGATCTCCACAGGGACACAACCTGACAGACTCCAGTAAGAAAGTGTAAAATACTGGTCTTCACTTAGATTTGCCTCTGCCCAGAGCCTATGGCTGTCCATACTGCAGGCCCAACTTTCTGTTGCTCCCGGGGGGGCTGGGAAGCCCAAGATCTTCTGATGTTACAAGGTTCTGCACCATCCCCTCGGCTGGGCTGTACATTCACTAGTTGTCAGAAGTTTCTGATACTGTTGGGGCTTGGGGAAGGAGTCACAGAACCATCTTGTCCTGTCCTCTGGACTCTATACATCATAACGGTTCAAACTGTACGAGTTTGGGTAGCTCTGCCGGCTGTACTGGAAGTGATCTGTTAAGATGTTGTTGTGGCCATATTGATAGCCCCCATGCTGGGGGAAGAGGAGGCCATTGTGGGGCTTCTCTAGTGGGTTCCGGTGACGCTCCTTGCTGCTCAGGTCTGCTGCTGTGACAGGGAGGAGGTGCTTCTTCGCTTGCTGGTTTGCATCATACTTGGTCTGCATGGGAAAGACAGCAATGAAACACTTGCCAGAACACACTTGGAGAACAGGGGGAGCTCACGATTCAAAGCCAAACAGGCTTCAAGGCTGACAAAAGGCTCAAGTAGGGCTGGCAAGTATTAATGGACTAGGCCAGGAAATACAGGTGGGATTCTGAAGGCAAATCCTCCTGCTGGATTCCACGTACTTATAAAACTGGACTACACAGAGCCTTCAAGAGGAGGGAGAGGAATCCCCACCCAAGCCTCAGTAGACCTGAGAGACACAGCTGGAGTGATGCAAGGTCTTCCATGCAAAAAAAAGACAACCAGGGCCAGAGTAGTCAGTGGCAATGGTGGCAACTAGAGCCCCAGCTTCTGGCTCCCAAGAAGACCTTCCTTTCCCAACTCTCCAGGTATTACAAGAACAGCCTCCACCCCCTGCAAGCTTACCTTGTTGTACAGGAAGACCCCCAGGATAGCTGTCATCATGCCTAGAACGTTGGTGCTTGTGACCGGGTTGCGCAGCATGATCAGGGACACTGTGATGACCATGATTCTCTTGGTGGCATTGGCGACCGAGTAGCTAAGGGGGCTGATGAGGTTGAGGATGCTAAAGGCAATGACATTCTGGGCAAAATTACAGAAGCCACTGACAGCCAGGAGCAGGAGTGTCCAGGGCCACTGGGAGATGTAGGTCTGCAGAGACCAGAGAGCAAGGACAGCACTTCAGTAGATAGTATCCTCCCTAATCTCCACCTGGCAGGGTTGTTTAGGGGACACAGGGGCTCACTGGGGCTCATAGTCAGCAGGCAGCAAGCCCAGGTGTGTTGTGTGCATGACCTCTGACATTGACAACATTGGGTGGCACAACAATCACCTACCATTTCCTGCTGAGGAAGTGCAGGCTTAGAGAGGTGAAGCCAGATGTCCACAGGGCATAGAGCAAGACATGAACCAATGCTTTCCTTTGACCCTGGACAGTGAATGGATGGGAGGTCTTGGGAAAGTGGCCCCGAAGTGTGTGAAGACCCTAGTAATATAAGGCCACTCTGAGGGGGTCCAGAAGTCAAGAAGTCACAACTAGCAGATATCTGGACCAGAGTAACTGCCCCCCCAACCCCTGGGAGAGCCTAGGCTGGTCCCAGGATAGACAGGTGAGAAGCAGGTAAGTGCTGCCCTAAATCAGCCCAGCTGCTGAATATTTATGAACATCTACTCAGGGATGGACAACAGAAGGCACATGATCCTCCTGCTCAATCTCACCTTGATCCCCTCCTCCTTGCTGAAAAACCAAGATGCTGCCAAAGGCAGGGATGTCAGGCTGGCATAATCTCTGGAGAGGGCATACCAGCTGAGGACAGCCCTAGGCTTTCTGTCTCCCCAGTGTCTGTGACCCAGGCAGGAATCCTGGGACATCCTTGTGTTCCACCGCAGAGCAGCCTTAACACTGGGAGTGGCTTGGTCCAGACAGCAAAGTCCCAGCATCTCAGTGTCTCCTATTCTTTGTAGGTTAATTCCCAGAGCACACAGGCCTTGGCCACAGGACACAGTTGGCTCTCCCAAGGATGATGATGATTGGTGGCCCTACCAGGAGATAGGAGCTGTCATAGGACAACTGCCTGATTTCCTCTTTAAAACTCCCTATGAAAGGCTCGGCGCCTATAGCTCAACGGGCTAAGGCGCCAGCCACGTACACCTAAGGTGGCGGGTTCGAATCCCCAGCCCGGACCCGCCAAACAACAATGACGGCTGCAACCAAAAAATAGCCAGGCGTTGTGGCGGGCACCTGTGGTCCCAGCTACTTGGGAGGCGGAGGCAGGAGACTCGCTTGAGCCCAGGAGTTGGAGGTTGCTGTGAGCTGTAATGCCACGGCACTCTACCCAGGGGGACAGCTTGAGGCTCTGTCTCAAAAAAAAAAAAAAAAAAAAAACCTCCCTATGAAGGAAGGATCACACAATCCTCTCAAAGGTGAGGAAGACTTGCTTAGGCAACCTGCTGAAAGTCAACTAAATCAAAACTTGAACTTCCAAATCCACGTCTGTCCACCCACGCTATAAACCCTCATAGGAGTACAACAGCCCCTCTAAGTCACATAAGCCCACCAGATGCTTTCATGGCTAGCTGGCCTGTTCCCCCAGGAGTCCCTCTCTATGGTGACCAATATTGATGTCTAAGATATTTTCTTTCAGCTTGCACAGACACTGATTTTCTGAGAAAGGAACCTAGCTAATCTAGCTAAAAAAATAGACACACAATAAAATTGCCTCTTTTTTCCTTAAGGTACTCAGTTTCAAGCAGCATTTCAACACATGTAATGATCTATGTAATATCACAGCAACAGGGATCCACCATGACAAAACACTCCCTTAGGGTTCTCCTTTGTACTAATCCCCTTCTTTCCCCTAAAGCTGATAACCATTGATATTCTCCATCATAGTAAGTTTATCTTTTGGAAACTGTCATATAAATGCAATCACATAGCATGAGACTTTCTGGGATAGGCTTCTTTGACTCAGTAAAGTGTCTTTGTCATCCATCCAAGTTACTGTGCAGGACAAGAATTGGTACTTTTTTTTTTTTTTTTTTTTGAGACAGAGTCCCATTATGTCACCCTCGGTAGAGTTCCGGGGCGTTACAGCTCACAGCAACCTCAAACTCTTAGGCTCAAGCAATTATCTTGCCTCAGCCTCCTAAGTAGCTGTGACTATAGGCGCCTGCCACAACACCCGGCTATTTTTTGTTGCAGTTGTCATTTTTGGTTAGCTGGTCTGGCCAAGTTCAAATCTGCCACCTTCAGGGCTGTAACCAAGTGCTATGGGTGCCGAGCTGATATTTTTTTGTTTTTTTGAGACATAGTTTCACTTTGTCACCCAGTCTGGAGGGTAGTGACTTCATCATTACTCACTGCTGAGCTCAAGTGATCCTCTGCCTCAGTCTCCAGAGTAGCTGGGACTACAAGTACATGCTACTTCTGCACCTGGTTAATTTTTCTATTTTTAGTAGAGAAAGGGTCTTGTCAGGTTGGTCTTAAACTCCTGGTTTCAAGTGATCCTCCTGCCTTGGCATTCCAGAGTGCTAGGGTTATAGGTATAAGCCACCACACCTGGCTTAGAGGTGGTACTTTTTTTTTTTTTTT